TGCATAACGCATAATGCATAAGCATAAGAAAATTGATTGGTCTATTTCCTTATGCACATGTATATGGACCAAACAATTTTCTTATGTTTACGCACTATGCGTTGTGCAAAAGTGTGTGCTCCCCGCTTTAAGATTATCAATATTTAAATCAAAGTATTACGAATTTAACTAAAAATAATGACAAAGTTGTACCTGATTCTCAATAAAAAATCCGATCTCAGTAGCGTAGCCACGGTATCCAACTGTGCCAATTCGTGATCCTTCAGGCTACTTGTATCCTTGTCTTCAAGTTGAGGCGTCAAGGTGGGCTCTGCGTATCCGTCGAATCCATGTAGTCTGTCCAAGCATACCTCGTCCGCCTCGCTGACCAGGAAAGCTCTGAGAGCTTGCAGAGCCGCCGTGACTACAGCCACCGACGAGTCATCCAGCGAGAATCTCAGCAGCAGCAGAATGTTCTTTTGACTGAGCGCGACCAGTGGTGCTGGATGCAGGGCCTTGTCGTACCAACCCTTGCGCGTCTTCTCCATGATATTGGCCAGAGTGACAAGGGCTGTACCCCGTTGCTGTTGAGTGGAAGACCTGCTCAGTTGTAGCAACTCCTGAAGGGAATATCCGGGACGTTCGGGTTCCTCGCCGTGATGATGGAGGCCTTTGTCTACAGTTAAGCTCTCATCCTTGTACGGCAATAAAAGACCTGGAAAAATACAAAAAAGATAATAGAAGTAAAAGATGAGAAAAATCAATGTCGTAGCAAAATTGATGATATTATTCACCGTTGAAATCAAATCTCGCATTGTATTCTTTGGTCGGTTCGGGCTCGTCTTCTTTCTTTTCCGGCAAGTCTTCCATCCACTTCAACTTTTCTGGTTCGGGAGCGTTCATATGCAGCCATCCTTTCTGTTTGCTTTCTTCGAATAATTCTTTGGATAATCCTGGGATTATGCTCGAGGAGTCATCCTCGCAATCCATTTTTGTATCGATATCATCCGAAGGAAACTTTGTCTTCCTATTATTAGATCTTGTATCCATTGTTGTTTCTTTTGTAATTAAAGTGCTCGCTGTATCATTCTTGCAATCCATTTCCGAGTCGTTTAAGTTGTCGTTTGACGAAAGCTTCATCTTCTTATCACTGGATACTTCTATATCCATTGCTGTGGTTTTGCTCGCGGCTGAAATGCTACTTTGCTTATTGTCCTGTTCAATTAATCTTTTGCCGGATTTCTTCTTTTTGTTTCTTAAAAACTGTATTATCTTAGGATCAAGAGTCTCCTCAAGCTTCCTCTTTTCGTGTAATATCTCCGCCTCGTTCATTTGCGCCAACTTTTCCAAATTTTCCTTGTGAATTTCAATGGCCAATTGATCTTCCATCGCAATCGCCTCTCCCTTGTCGCAGTGGGAAGATTCATCCCTCTGAACTTTCACCGACTCAGTTCTCACAGATTTCACCTCTGAAACTTTTTGCCAGAATAAACTCTGCTTACCATCAGTCTTCTACAAAGAGCAACAAAATTATACAGTTGGCATAAAAATAACAGATAACACATTTCATTCAGACATACTTTTTCCACAAGTGACGCGTCGTCGAATCTAAAAACCTCGGGGAACCCTAACTTGACTGTTGCGGGAACACAGTTGTTAAACTCATATTTGTCGAATTTTCTTTCCAAAATATTGCCAAGTATTATGTTCGACGACGCCGTAGGTACATTCTGGACCATGTCCTCCAACTTTCCCTCCGTCGTTTCCCGAATCTTGTCCCTGACAGCCGGGTTTATCACTTCTCCGCTGCCTCGCGAGGTAGAAACCACATCTTGTTTCGCCCTCGATTGCTTCAATTTCGAGAATTGGGATCTTGCCCTGCTAGCACTCGGAGCACCGTCCGAAGCGTTGGCTGAATTTCTTGGATTTATTGGCTTTACGGACGGTTGCTGCTTCGCCTTCAAAAACTCTTCTTGCTGGCGCAGAAGCTCCTCCTCGTTGTCGCCCGCTTTAGGTCTCTTCCACGCAGCTTCACCAGCCATCTCTCAGGTTCTTTTTTTATATAGAAAAAATAACTTTCTCCGCCAATGGTTAAAAACAAAAAATATTATTTTATTACTCGACTAACTGGCAACAATATAAATAGTAGCACTATTATTTTTTTAATTAGCGAGAAATAGACGGAAATTCAAACACAAGAGTCTTGCCAAGAGAACTTCTCTAAAAAAATATAGCCGTTCGGAATCGGCGTTAAACTGTAAGTTCCATATACAATGTGTATAATCCACGTGCGCAACGCCCAACACATGTATATGAAGAGAAGTCACCACGCTCGGGCACGAGCAATAGGACTGAGTATGAGCATTTACATGTACTCTTTGTCGTCTCCCCTGCATGCACATCTGCACATAAATAAGAAAAAAATTAATGCAATCGCAGCATAATATAAAAGATGTTCTTTAAGAATTCTTTATTAAGAATAATCTTCTTTTATATTATGCTGCGATTGCATTAATTAATATTTTCCTTATTTATGTGTAATTGATGCAAAAAGAGCTTCGTTGGTGCATCAATTGGAGCAACTTAAAAAAAAAAAAAAAAAAAAATAGCTTATGACTATTACCGAATTCATAGAACTGCCGTAACGCACAAATTGCAGATCTGTAGCACAAGATTCTCGAGTCAGACCAGGAAACTAGGCAAAGTGCCAGATGGAATATAATACGTACAATAGCGAACGCCGAGGCGGCATTTGAAACGGCATTTCATATAATTACACAAAACAGGAAGCAACAATGTTACAAGTATGACGAATTGGAAAAAAAAAGTATCGGGGCTTGGAAGCGCGACTAGAGGAACATGAAAAACGATATAGAGTAAATGCTTCGTGCCCGAGCGTGATGGCTTCTCTTCATATACACGTGTTGCGCACGTGGATCATACACATTGTACATGGAACCTACAGTTTAACGCCGATTTCGAACGGCTATATTTTTCAGAGAAGTTCTCTTTTGGCAAGACATACTCTCGGTGGCTTGCCATTGCCATCCGAGAGGAGAACGAGCGAATATAAAATTTTCTAGCTCCACCGGGGATCGATCCCGGGACCTTTGGCTCAATAGACCAGTGCGCTGTCTACTAGCCCACGCTCGTCCTCGGTGGTGCCTATAATACTATTTGTATTATTACCAGTCAGTCGAGTAATGAAATATTTTTTTCTTTTTTTTATATGATATTTAACATGCCCTATTCAATTTTAGGTTTCTTTTTACACTTCTAATTCACTTTTTCGTATAATCTTTGTATGTTACCTTATTACATTCTTCTTTAATTATTTCTTATTCTCTCAGGTTGTCATAACCTCTCTGTTATTCTCAACAGTTTGTAATCATACATGGCTACGGAACAGGACCTGCAAAATCGAAACTCCATAATCGCAGTTTACAAGAATTATTATCGTGACATTCGCGTTGCTGTCATCTCGTCAACTCACCTGAATTTACCTCACGCGATGCGGTTTGACGCGTCCGATGCGTTCCCGTCAGCTGTCAATCGTTGCTCTTAGCGCCAGTAGCGCCACGAAAAACGCGACGACTGCATTTACCGTGCGTAGAAAAAGTAGGCATTACCGACGATTGGAAAATATGTCTCATTGTCCATATTATTAATCAGAATTTCTATAAAAATTTTCGGATTTTCTCAAAATGCTCAGAATTTTTAAGATTTTTTAATACCAATTGGAACACTTTTTTTAAAAACAGACAAAATAATAATAAAAAATATACATCAGATTTTTTCCACCAACACACACTTTGTAAAAATCTGAATAAATATGAAAAAAATTTGTGCAATTTATCGGAAATTTTCACACATACGCGCAGATACTGAAGCATTTCGAAAATCCTCTCGTCCAATTATTTCTGAAAATATCTGAGGAATTTTATATATTTTTCCAGAATTTTTCACGAGTCTCAATTCTCACAAAATTTCTGAGAAAAAATGAGAAATTTTTTCAGCAGGAGTATCCTCGGAACATCCCCGTGTCGCCTCAGATATTTTTATAAATAAATGTACTTTTACATATATTATCGCCGGCTCGGGCAGGAAAGAACCAACTTCGTTGATTTAGCTTAATAAATTACTTTATT